TATCTGATAAACAGAATGCCATCTAGGATTTTACAGTTTAAAACCCCATATGAAATCGTTTATCAAAAAACTCCTGATTTTACCAATCTGAGAGTTTTTGGTTCACTAGCATTCTCTACAAATTTAACTGTTAATGACAAGTTTCAATCTAGATCTGACCCATGTGTTTTCCTGGGATATCCAAAGGGTCAAAAGGGATTTGTTTTACTAAATTTACAGAGTAAGCATTTTTTTGTTTCCAGACATGTTAAGTTCATTGAGAACAAGTTCCCTTTTAAAGATGCTGGAAATTCAGTACAAAATGAGGCAAAACAGTCATTTGACAATGTATTTTGGCATGATTTTGATTCATTGCAAGTACAAAAAATGCATGATAAATTTCGAACTACTCAGCCCATTACAGAGAAATGTTCAGATAATAATGATTTAGGAGAACCACACAATATTTCAGAAGATAACTTGATTGAACACCCTACTCTAGAGCAAGAAAGAATAAGACCGACCAGGGAGAGAAGGCCTCCAATATGGGCTAAAGATTATGTCTGTTCTGCTGCTGTTTCTAAAGTTAAATATCCTATTCAATCTCATATATCTTATGATTATATATCTCTGTCACATAAATGCTTTCTGTTATCCCTTGATAATGACATTGAGCCTAGGAATTATCAAGAAGCTGTACAAAATAAGAAGTGGGTGGAAGCTATGAACAATGAACTTAGGGCCTTAGAAGAAAATAAAACTTGGACTATAGTGGATTTACCTAAGGGTAAAAGACCTATAAGTTCTAGATGGGTCTATAAGATCAAGCATAGAGCTGATGGGAGTGTAGAAAGGTATAAGGCTAGACTGATAGCAAAAGGGTTTAGCCAAAGGGAGGGGATAGACTATCAAGAGACTTTTTCCCCTGTGGTAAAAATGGTGACCGTCAGAATTGTACTCTCTTTAGCTGCTCAACATAATTGGTCTCTGAATCAAATGGATGTTTTTAATGCGTTTTTACAGGGTGATCTTAATGAAGAGGTTTATATAACTATCCCACAAGGTCTCTTCAATAAGGGGGAGGATAAAGTTTGTAAACTTAATAAATCCTTATATGGGTTAAAACAAGCATCTAGGCAATGGAACTATAAACTAACACAAGCATTGAAATTTGGTGGTTACAATCAAAGCATGCATGATTACTCACTATTTTTTAAGCATTTTGATGATGGTGTTGTTTTGATCCTTGTGTATGTTGATGATCTTTTGATCACTGGGAGTTCTAAATCTGGGATTAAAGAAACTAAAGAATTTTTACACAGTAAATTTAAGATAAAGGATTTTGGTCTGTTAAAGTATTTCTTAGGAATTGAAGTGGCACGTTCTAAAAAGGGTATTGCTATGAACCAAAGAAAATATGTTTTAGACTTGCTGTTTGAGACAGGAATGAGTGGCTGTAAGCCACTGACAGTACCTATGGCTTCCAATTTGAGGCTCACTGCATATGAGGAGGGAAGAAACAAGGAGGAAGAGCTGTTGAAAGACCCTGGGGAGTATAGGAGACTTATTGGTAAGTTAATATACTTAACAATGACGCGTCCTGACATTTCTTTCTCTGTGCAGAGTTTGAGCCAATTCATGCAAACTCCAATGAAGGCTCACATGACAACTGCAAAAAATGTGCTGAGATATTTGAAGAGTAACCCAGGACTTAGAATACTTTTAAGCTCGAGACACAGTACAACGTTGAAGTGCTTCTGTGATTCAGATTGGGCAGCATGTCATACTATAAGGAGGTCAGTTTTTGGCTATTTGCTGAAAATGGGAGACTCCTTAATCTCCTGGAAGGCAAAGAAGCAAGAAGTTGTCTCCAAGTCTTCGGCTGAAGCTGAATAGAGAGCACTTAGTGTTGCTATTTCAGAGGTTATCTGGGTTTTAGGGGTAATGAAGGATCTGGGTTTTCAAAATGTAGATCCAGTAAAAGTGTATTGTGACAGCAAGGCTGCCATTCATATAGCAAATAATCCTGTTTTTCATGAAAGGACAAAACATATAGAAGTGGATTGTCATTTCGTTAGAGAGAAATTACAGCAGAAGATTATTTCTCTGCACCATGTTCGTTCAGCAGAACAGGAGGCTGATATTCTAACAAAAGCATTGGGAAAGAAATTACATGATAGATTTCTCAGCAAGTTGCAAACTATAGATTTGTATAGTTTGAACTTGAAGGGGAGTGTTGAAGATATGTAATTGTCTCATATGATTTGTTGATTTAGTTTATTATTAGTTAGTGAGGGTATTGTTGTATTTTGCCTTGAATTTTGTTTGTATAAATACTGGATATTTGTATCCATTTGGTTTAATGCAAAAATAGTGTTATTCATTTTTTTTGGAATATTGCATTCATCTTATAGTGTTATCTGTAGATACACTATTTTCAACAACAACTATGAATAATTAGTTGTTAGCTTCCAATTCCTTTCTTTTACCACCCTTCAAAACATCACCTTTAAAAATGTTAAATCATGGGGTGAAATAAATATTTTAGTAGCTAAAAAATTTCAACTTTTAATATATACAAGTATAAACATTTTGGAGTGTGTAAATGAATATGTACAAATATGATTTACATTATCACATTAATTGGGCATGCATGATTATGATGCCCTTCTTCTTTCTTCCTTATTCCTTTTAATTGAATTCGTAGGTCATAATTCAAAATAAACACAATTCATGTGATTGGACTAATTCAAATTCTCCAATGTTTGAGGAGTAATTTGACCAAATGTCACCCTCCTTCAACTTGAATTATGAACTCTCCTACTAATTGAATTCATACAAAGTGTTATGTATATTATTCATAATACATACACACTCTCAAAGTGGGTATTATTGGCTAAGCTAAAATAACACCTAACTCCCATCTAGATACCATAGCTATGCAATATTGAGGGCTACTCAATTGTTGTTTATGTCACATAGACTTACAATACACTAATCTTCCATCTAAACTCCCACCGATTTTATTTCTTAATCATATTATAATGTTCACACAACTTCAATCTTGCACCATGATGAAATTTCACATGCCAAAATTATCATACTTTCTGATCACCACGCTCAATTTACCACATATCCATAATTCTTGAAGTTCTCAAAACATTCTCATAAATTGCCATATAGCATAATTTACTCAATTCACCCACATTTTTCAACAATTTGACTTATACTCACTTTACACATTTTTTAAAGTATCCAAAGTGCATTTTCACATACAACATGCATTTTACAATTTTATAACATCAAAACACACTTAAAACATACATGTGAAGGAACTTTAATTCTTATTTGCTTTTGTCACTTGAGTTACTCAAAATGAATAACCTATATTCTTAATACAACAATACTTTTAAATGCTTTAAGAGTTCAAGAGAGCTAGTTTATAATTTATACAACTTAATACAAGTATCAATTCATAGTGAAAACACCATTTTTCTAACTACCCATTTTATTCAAAAATCCCAAAAAATTTGAACAAATCTAAGCTGCTTATACACTTAATATAACTCCATTAACATATTTAAACTCAAATAATCGATTAGAACTATCTCAAATCCAAAACTGTAGAAAATTTAATTCTACCACTGTTAAAGATTCAGAAAATAAAGGGAAAAAAAATGCTTGGAAAGATATTTAAAAAAATTATTTAGTCTTAAAATGTTTCAAATCATCCAGACTATCATATAATGGAACCTACCTGTAAAAATTCCTCTCTCGGGGTCTGGGCATGTTGCCCTCTCTCTCTTAGCTCTGCCCACGGAGACGCCACTGGATACAGGACTGTGTTTTTTTTTTTTTACCAAAAAAGGGGAATGGGTTTAAATGATTAAGTGTGACACAGTGGGCCTTGGCCCACATGCCACCCACTATGTCCACATGTACAATTTTTTTTTTCATTTCTTTATCTAATATAATATAATTTTTAATTACCCCACAAATCTTATATCATGGCCCAATAAATCCTTCAAGCATCTTTTACAAATTTTATTTTCAATAGTCTTAGAAAAATTTAAATGATTAAACTTAATTAATATATATTTTGCTCAAATATAATTTTTTATAATATTTATACAATTAAAATCATTCAAGTGGAGAAATAATTTATATAATTTAATTTAATCCCACTTAATCTTATTAACTCCTTTTTCTAAAAATTTTGTATTAGAATTAAGAATTTTAAATTTAACTTAAATAAGTGCATGATAATTTTTAATTACCACAAAATAATTCCCTCATAATGCTACTTAACTACTAAAGACAAAAATTAAAATGGTATATTTATTATTTTCTGAATCAGTATTGATAATTCATTTTTTATAAAAAAGATTATCGAAAACCTGGTAACTAAATTTTCCCCCTTTCAGAGTTTATTATCATTCTTCCTTATATTTATGGGCAAATATGTAAGAACGATATCTTTATTTTTTTGGGCCAAATAAGGACCATATCAATATAAGCGTAGGTGTCTATATAACTAATTGTAACTAATAATAATTTGCGACAAAATTATTATCACTAATCATAATAATCTTACAAACTATTATTGATTAATTATCATCAATGTAAAAATGCTTCACGCAAGTAGTACACCGCGGGGACGTTTGTTATTACACACACTTCATGTAAATTCTTGGCTGACATGGAGGGAGGGGCAACATGGCATCTATATATATCGAATTTATATTCTCTAAAATTAAAATTGCTGAATTTAAGTAATTTTTTTTGAAAAAAGAATATTTTATATTCTTTAAAGATAATACAATGAACAAAAATACTAAAATTTTTTTTTATCAAAATTCATCAATCCTAACTTCAAATGATTTAAATCCACACATATATATAATATGTATTACGTATTTCTATTGGATATTATTAAAAATTGGGAAGATTTTATTGGACGTGTTCGTCTATAAATATGACACCCCAAGCTGATTAATCATCTTTCACCTAAAACGCTCAGAATTGAACTTCCATATCAGTTTTTCTATGGAGTTACCTTATTGGTTTGCCATAATAGTATCATGTCTTCTTCCTATTTTCGTAGCCATTATCACAAAACTTCACTTCCAGTTCCAGAGGCCAAACTCTAACCTTCCACCAGGTCCAAAACCATGGCCGATCATTGGAAACCTAAACCAAATCGGCGACCTCCCTCACCGATCGCTTCACAACTTGTCCAAAACATACGGTCCCATCATGCACCTCAAGTTCGGATCCTTCCACGTCGTGATTGCTTCTTCCAGTGAAATGGCAAAGCAGATTCTCAAAACCAATGATCATATCTTCGCCACCAGACCCCAAATTGCTGCAGGCAAACACACCTGCTACGACTTCTCCAACGTCACTTGGGCTCCTTACGGGCCACAATGGCGTCTGGGTCGCAAGATTTATCTCTCCAAGTTGTTCAGTTCCAAGGGACTTGAGTCCTATCATGAAATTCGTGCCCAAGAGAGGCATGCGTTTATGTCACGTTTGTTTGCTGTTTCAGACAAGCCTGTTGTTCTGAAAGACCATCTTTTCCATTTCACTCTCAGTGTTATCAGTAGGATAGTGATGGGGAAGAAGTATTTCAGTGAGTCTGAAGTAGAGGACGAAGAGTTTGTGGTGTCACGTGAGGGGTTTCAGGAGATGTTGGAGGAATTGTTTGTGCTTAATGGGGTTTTGAATATTGGGGATTGGATTCCTTGGTTAGGGTTCTTGGATTTGCAAGGGTATGTTAAGAGAATGAAGGATCTGAGGAAGAGGTTTGACAGGTTTTATCAGCATGTTATTGGTGATCATATGGCTAGGAGAACGCAGATCGACTTTGTGCCCAAGGATTTCTTGGATTTCTTACTGGGTTTGGTTAAAGATCCTTCTCTTGATGTTGATTTCACTCTTAACAGTGTTAAAGCCTTTGCTCTGGTACATGTTACTTTCAATCTTCATCCCTTGCTTCTAACTATTACTGGTGCAAAAATAGTTATTTAAACCTGTCTTTCTAGAAAGCGGTTTTTCCACATCTGGTTAAAAAATAAAAAATAAAATAAAGGCAGTGATATTTTTGCAAATAGCTAATGTTTCCATTTATACTTTTCAAACTGATTCTACAGCAACCGATCTTAAAAATATTTTCTAGACTAATTAAAAGTACAACCGGCTAAAAAAAATGTTTTTTCTTTTTCCTTATTTCTAGCTGCTTTCTGAACCAATTGCTTACAATTGGATTAAAAAAGTTAGAACAAGCCTTATCCAAACCAATTTTAAAAGCGGTTTGGAAAGCCATTTTTACCCAGTTTAAAAACCTGTTTTTTTTTTTTTTTTGGTACTGGTGTATGATCTTTTGCTATTAATTTGGCTTGATCAAACTCATAATCTGGTCCTTAAATAAAGAAAGTGTTTGGTTGAGTGAGCAGGATCAAATGGCTGGAGGGACAGATACAGCAGCAACAACAGTGGAATGGGCAATGTCAGAGCTAATGAAGCAACCGAATCTGATAAAAAAGGCAAATGAAGAAATTGACAGAGTAGTAGGAAGAGAAAGATGGGTTGAAGAGACTGACATCCCAAACCTTCCATACTTAGACGCAATCATCAAAGAAACACTGAGGCTCCATCCTGTGGCTGTCCTGCTAGCACCACACATGGCTCTCGAGGACTGTGAGATTGAAGGCTTTGACATTCGGAAAGGAACAATGGTGTACGTGAATACTTGGAGCATTGGCAGAGACCCTTCAGTTTGGGAATCTCCAGAAGATTTCTGTCCAGAGAGATTCTTGGGGAAGAAGGAGATTGATGTGAAGGGACAGAACTTTGAGTTCTTGCCATTTGGGTCAGGAAGAAGGATGTGTCCAGGTTATAAGCTTGGATTGAAGATGGTAAGTTCTAGCTTAGCCAACTTGTTGCATGGCTTCACTTGGAGACTAGCTGATGAGAATGTGAAGCCTCAGGATTTGGACATGGAAGAACATTTTGGGTTGGCCACTGTGAGAAAGTTCCCACTTGTTGCTGTGGGTCAGCCTAGGCTGCCCCAACATCTATTTTACTAATTATTAATAGTCCTTTTAATAACAAAGAGAGAGATGACGTCATGAATTATTTTTAACAATCCAATGAGACTTAATTATGTGCCTGCTCTAATCTCTTCAATTATTATAGATTGGGGATCTGAATTATCGTTTCATGTGATGAATATGTGCTTGTATATCTCTATAACTATATTTGCGGAATAAAATCACTATGGTTATGGTTCTTGGCTTCTTGCTAGGATCTTGAGCCACGTACGTTTCAAATTGGCAATTTCTCTCTCATATTATTGCTTTCCAATAAGGGAAAGAAAAGTTGAGATGCATCATGCACCTTTAGATCGGAGATTGCTACATGAATTGTAAACTAGTGAAGTACAGCTTGCTCATGATTGTCGCTTTTTCCAAATAATTGAAAATTAAAAAAACCTCCATTTCGCCATTATTATTTATATTTTTTAATTTTTAAACCAGATGAATTGTATACATGCACAAATGATTTTTTTATCAAATTTTTTTCTCTTGCTTGACCCAATAGGTTTCTACATGCTAATTACTCGCTTCAGTTCAAAATATAAGCCCGTTCTTTCATTTAGTAGTTGTAGAATTTTTTTATTTTACCCGTTGTATGTATTAAAATGAATTTTTGTGTGAATTTATTATCTTTTTCTCACTCATTATTATTAATTTAAATTGAAAATAAAAAATAATATATATTTTTATAGGAATAAAAATTCTATGATATACAAATTATTAGTAAAAGCACTTATATTTTGGAAGATGGAGTATATTTTACCAAATTTTTATAAAGGGCAAGACATGCGCGCGATATTATAAAATCATGCTTCTTTGTACCGTCTCCTCTCCTTCTCATCTCAAGTCATTTATTATATTTGAACAATTTAAGATATAATATTTTTTTGATATACTCCTTTCATTAAAAATATAAAATATTTTAATTAAATTTCACTTCAATAATAAAATAGTTACTTATTTTTCAACTAACCCTATTTTTTTTATATTTACTCTTATTTAATTAGGTATTTTATTCTAAAATAAATATAAAGTAATTTATTCAATAGGAGTACTTTAAAAAAAAACAATAATTATAACTTAAAAAACTAAAAATACTTTATATTTTTAACATCTAATCTTCTCAAAAAATGCTTTATATTTTTAAATGAAAGGAGTAATTATTTGATGGGTTAAATGATAAATTTATCTTTAAACTATAGATTTAACAGCATCTAAAATTCTAAATTCATTTTTGATACAGTGTTCCTTTTCAATATTTTAAAATAGTGCAATATTTCTCTTACCATTAATAAATGTTAACTTTAACTATTATTTGAACAAAAAATTATAGAAAATGTCAAAGAACATTTTTTTGATCGTATTTTGTAATTTTTTGAATCTAAGTTTGTAATTTTCTTGGTCCCTTTCTGAAATTTTTTAAATTTTTTTCTGTAATTTTTTAATTAACTAAAAATCAAAGTTAACATTATATCATTTTCAAAAGTTAACATTATACCCAAAATAAGTCTAGAATTCCAAACATTTTTAAACATATAGTTTAAAGGTAAAATTACTTTAAAATTCCTTGTTTGAGTAGTATTGTCTGAATTAATTAGAGGTATAAATTTGTTCGCACGATTTTTTTATCCACAAGATTTGGTCGCTTAATTTTACTTATGAAAATCGAATTCCTTCCACGTAACCTAGTACCATTAAGACTTATATATGACGAGTATTTTAAAAAGGTGTTATTGAGATATTAAAGTAACAAATTAACTTTCAGAGAAAGCCTAACAGTGATGAGTGTGGAGTCAGGGGTAGAGCGTTTGGCGGAAGGTGAAGGTGTACGGACGGAGGGGCGAGAGGGAGTAGAAAGAAGAAGGTGAGACAAGAGCCTGGTGAGACTGAGCGACTTCCTGAGAGGACCGAGAATATCGAGCATAGCATGTCTTATAAAGATAAACTTATTGTAGCAGATGTCGGCACATGCTCGAAGGACCGTAGAGGATGTAACGTCTTTGAAGATGCGTGGAAAGATTACATAGAGAGCTTGAAGAGTCTCTTTGATGATGGACAAGAGGCGAAGCGAGGTGCAAGGGATGCCGATGATAACGACAAGGGTAACTTATGCCCCACATTAGTCATCACGCAAGATGAATGAACGCTGGTGTGCCCCGTGGAGGAAGTCGCTGATCAAACTGCTTGGAAAGGAGATACCTTTGTGGGGCATGAAGGCAGGACTTCAAAAAATCTAGAAGACAATTGGGGAATATGACGTCACTGATCTTGATAATGGTTTCTTTGTGGTGTCGTTCAAGAGTGACGAGGATTTAGATTATGTGCATCTTGAAGGACCCTGGATGCTTGGTGACCATTACCTTTTGACTCAACGGTGGCGTCTGAATTTGATCTGTGGGAGGCAGATTGTCAACAAAAAATTACAGCCTGGATACGGATTCTAATTCTTCCTCTCGAATTTTTTAATTCTGAAAGCTTATGGAAGATAGGAGGCTTGATGGGTAAGACACTAGAGCTAGATTCTATTACTAATCTAAGAGCTAGGGGCCGCTATGCTCATATATGTGTTGAGCTCGATCTAAAGAAACGTTTAAATTCAGCAATCATGATTTTTTGACAAGAAAAGGTTTGTGGAGTATGAGGGACTACATCTGATTTGTTTCAATTGTGGTATGTATGGTCATCACCGAGAGGTTTCTCCTGAGTTGCAGAAACAAACTAAACTTTTTGAGAGTGAGAAGTTAGGGGGAGACACCGAAGAGACAGTTGCGTAAGGAGATATGGTTAGAAATCGGGCTAATAATGATGTCAACGGTACACCAAAGCCAAATATGGACGAAGCTGGGGTGGGGTAGAAGCTAACATAGTTTGATGACAGTTGGAACTCCAGAGAAAGGAGCGACGGTTTTGGGTGAGTGGTCTTTAGTCAAACGGTCATTACGACGAAGTTCGGCGGAGCGAATTACTCGGATGGCAGGACGACTTTTCCGACGAGATCTGTGAGAGGTAAATTTACTTAGGACTTGGAGCGAGATTCAAAAAAATCTAGAGGGATTGGATTAAATTCAAATCAAGGAGTAACGAGATCCGGTTTAACGCCCCCACGGTGTGAGAGAGATGTTAGTAATTTAAAGAAGTGGGTCCCAATGGATTAGACCAAAAATGAAGGACTAAAGGAGGGTACAAAAGGAAAAGAAATAATCAAAGGAGCTCCTCAAACAACGAATCGGACTTAATTTTCCAGACTAAAAGTAATTTCTTAAACGCTACTAATCCATTTAGTGTACTTATGGATATCTAGCAAGATGGGCCAGGGCATGAGGCATGAGGTTGGGTCCTATGATGATGATGGGTCCAACGCAGTTAGGCCTAATCAGTCAAGTACAGAAGTTGAATTGACTTTTGAAGCAATGGAGCATGTGAATGACGGTCAATTAGTGCACCGGGACTTGGGAAATATGGATAATCACATGATAGGCCAGGAAGATAAAATATTGGATGATAATGTGAGGCCTCAAACCTCAATCATAATTGAAGAAGTTTCTCCATGGATTGCCTTTTTTGGAATTGTAGGGTTGTAGGGGCTAAGTCATTTCCAGCCTTGGTCAAGGAAATTAGTAGGAGATTCAACGTTGATTTTTTAGCTTTGCTTGAAACTAGATCCAGTGGGCCTGAGCAAGAAAAATTGATGGACTTTTAGGCTTTCGTTATTTCCATATAATTGATACGAATGTCTACAGTGGTGGGTTATGGCCCTGTGGAATGATGACCAATGGTATGGAGGTTTTGGAATGTTCAGATCAGTTTATTCATTTACGATTTATCTCTGGGGGGTCTCTCAGTATATAACATGTATTTATGCAAGTACTTTTGCCACTAAACGAACGGTTTTATGGTCGCGTCTGCAGGAGTTGAAGTAGGGGGATTGAGGATGCTTGGTGTTTGGGTGGTGATTTTAACAGTATTTTGTACAGTAATGAAAGAAGTTCAAACGCAGGGTCATCCTCTATGGTTGACAGGGATTTTTTTATTTGGTTTTCTGACATGAGCCTGCTGGATTTTAAACCTTATGGACCTTTTTTCACTTGACAGCGGGAAGGTTGCCGTAGTAAGCTAGATAGAATCCTTACAAACACAGCTTTTCTTGAATGATTTACTAACGCCTTGGCAACGTCTATGTGTCATTTTAAGTCAGATCACCGTCCTTTGTTGCTTCGTTTGTTGTCGTCGAAAGTAACGAAGCTTGTTGATCGCCCTTTTCATTTTCTTGCTCCTTAGATACTACATGATGATTTTGATCGACTGGTGGCTGAGAAGTGGGCAACGAACAGAGGTTGGAATGAGACTATCAAGGGATTTGTGAGTAATGTGAGTATCTGGAATAAGGAGGTATTTTGGGCATTTGGGTGGTCAGAGATGAAGACTGATGAATAGACTGGATGGCATTAATGGAGTCCTAAAACATGATGGGTTTTCAATTTAGAGCCGGTAATTCGGGCGGGCCGAGCTCAATTTGAGCCGGGCTTATTCGGATTGGGCTTAAAACATTTTACTCCTTCTAAAAAGCTCATATAGCCAAGCTCGGCCCTAACATCTTCGGGTTTTGGGCTGGCCCGAATGCTCGAATACCTGAAACTTTTTAAAAATATTTTGTCTGTATTTTTTGAACTAATTTTAATTTTTAAATAATTCTATTAATCGTAAAATATTATCTTAATTTTAAAAGAATAAAATAAAAAATAATTTATCAACTTTGTATTTAAGTAGCTCTGTTATTATTTTGTTGTATTATGTATAATTTATTCATGAATGTTTCCTTTACTTATAAATTAATGTCTTAGTTGTTTAAATATTTCTCTTATCATAGTCATATATAAATATTTTATATATTTTAATTAAATTATATTATTTTAATTATGATTAAGCTGATCTCAATTCAATCACAGTTAGACTACTAACTTAAAATTATTATTTCGATTAGTTCAAAGTTTTTAATAACTTTTAGGTAAATTATACTTTTCATTTTTATGACTATAAAAAAATTGCCATCATTATATTATATAAAAAAATTATTTAATTATGAGTAAAATATTATTTTTTTTGAAATCATTTTTTTAACTTTTTATATTGTTTAACTCTTATATAAAAGGGATTCTTACTTTAGTTTACTCTTAATTTTTAACCAAATCTAGCATGGACAATAACCAAGTAATTATTCAAGAATATTATTCTAT